ATCCCAGTTTTTTCTTGGTAAAATTACCATTTATGGAATTGGCAATTTTACCGATAGTCTGTTCTCATATGTACAAAAATCCAGTCCCGTGTGCAACTTTCTGAAAAAAGTTGGCGAGTGGTATCAATCTCTTCGTTATGATGTCTAGAATCAGAATTTGGATGGTGATAACCTTGAAAATCGTGCAGGAAGCGCCTAAAGCCCAAAAACAAAATGGCGGCCGCTCGGTAGGCCTTACTTTTGAAAATTCCGTATTATGGCATGTGAGGTATCGATTCCTATGTTTTTTGGGTCGTAAAATCCGAATATGATGTTTAAAATACCCTCCGATCAAAAAAAATGTCGCAAATCCAACATGGCGGCTGAAAATACCCACCCGGCGCGAAAATCGCTGAGTTCTCATTTGGCCGTCTAGTAAGGCGGCCAATGATTGTATTGTGTGGTCCCAGGTTTCAAAACAGAGTTACAACTCACTGTACGGCCCATAAAAAAAAAACCAAAATCCAATATGGCGGCCAAAATGGCCGCCGATCGAAACCTGTATTTTTTGTATCGGCGTATGGCGTCGAGTGGGGTATCGTTTCTGATGTATTTTGGGTCGCACATTACGAATATGAAGTCAAAAATTACTCTTGGCCAATATTGAAGCTCGTAAATTCATCATGAAGGCTAAAATGGCGGGCATGGATAGAATAAAAGCAATTACACACAGCGGTAGTCCTGATTTAATACATTTGTGGGGCCTCTCAAACCAAATTCAAAGTTAAAGTTCATCTGATCACACGTATACGCCTTTGCCATCCATTTTGACACAATGAATGACTGCTCTTAAAGCAGTCTTGAATCTAGGAAGCACTCTGTTAGGCGTGCAAACTAGATATAATGACTGAAAAATCATGTTTTTTTTTCGTCGGATTACACATATTTTACTGGTATCTCTGTAATCGATAATTAGATATTGCAAAAATCAAACATTCCCGGTTTTTTTCACAAAGAAGAAATGAATTAACCGACAAATAAGAGGAGACATGCGTCTGAATTTAAGAACAATGTTTCCATTATGGTTGCGCGCGCTCTCTGCAGTCTCAACTTTTTCGAGCATGCAGCGTCGAAGCAGTTCGAAGTTTCGTCGATAGGTTTTAACATTTAACATCAGCACATACGAGTTCTCCGCGTTGCCTAAATCATTATTTGGTCCCGACGGCAGAATGCTTCACTGCACAAATAAATCGAAACTCCTGTCCATTTTGGAATCTCTACCAGGAACTTCAATACAACAAGCAGATGAAGGAAATTCCTCATCAGTCACTAATGAATCGCCAAACTTGAGTGGAAAAAAAGCAGCCATAATAGACGGTATGGCTCTTTTACACTGCTACTTCAAGCCAGCAGGGCTCAAGACGTGCGAGGATCTCGCAAAGGATTTTTCCAACTGGTTGATTAAAAAATTCAGCTGTTACGATGAAACTCATATTGTTTTTGATACTTATCAAGCTAATTCTCTGAAAAATGACACAAGAGTACCCTAGTAGCAGAACAAATTTTTGTTTTTCTAAAAAAAGTATAAAAAAAACATATCTGTTATCTAAATGATCGTTTTATATAAAAAACGTTTAACGCTTATATAAAAAAAAATCAAAGTTCAGACCTGACCGTAATCTATGAAAAATGATAAAAGCTAGATAAGGTATTTTTTTTTTATACACACATTTTTTATTTTTTTATATAACGCATGCATATGAAAGTGTTAAAAGTGAACATTTTTATGTAACGATTATATAAAAAAA